TAACCAATCTTCCCAAGTCACTCTTCAAAAGCCGATTCTTGAATGAACTAACCACAACTATTGTCGTTAGAACAAACAATTTAAGTTCTGGAAAAGCCCGACTCATATTATGTTGTCTAGTTAAGAATCAAACCCAATCTCGATTTTCCTTAGCGAACCACCGCTAAGTGTGTTCACAGGAGGTCGAAAATGCCACAGACTGATCCCTCCTCCCAACTATATATTAAAGCAACATCCGGACCATGCCAACGTTTTGATATGAAAGAATTTTAATTTTGAAACTAAGATCGATTGTCAAACTAATAAAACAGAAAATCGAAAATGTAACTTGAAGGGCATTAAGTGTTGTATCAATTCTCACATATGAAATTGAATCATCGCTAGCTCTCGATTAATAAGAAAATTAGCTAAGTAAAAAGAAAGTGAAAAGGAAAAAGGAAAACAAACTTTTATTAAAATGAAAACAAAATAACAAAAATGAAACTCAAGATGAAGCTATCTAAGCCTTACCCTAAGGAGGGTATTTATAGGCTTCTAAAACCTTAAAGATAACATGGAAATTCAAATGAAAATAATCTAAAAATTGAATGATAATTCAAAATGTTTAAATACAAACTTAAAAACTAAGTTTCCTAAAGAATATCCTCAAATCGTGCTAACTTGACCTTCTAGAAACTTCCACGTCATATTGTGTCGTGCCCAGTGTTGTTCTCATGTCCTTAATAGCGATTAGATAATAAAGAAAAATTCGATCATCGTCTTTTTTACTGCTAATTCTGGAAAGTAGATCACTGCACTAAAATAAGCAAAACAAAACCCAAATCAGTAGTAATAAATTCATAAAATGGGGAAATTAACAAGTAAAAAGTGACAATTTAGAATGCTAATCAAATTCCTCATCACTTATCTCATGCTTGTCCTCAAGCATGCTTCAATCGAACAAGTTAAAAATCCAATTTACCTTCCTCCGCCTTGTCTCATATCAAAGCAAATCATGACAATTCCATAGGCTTGTAACACAATCAAATTAAATCTCCACTACTTAAGTTGAACAAGATGCATCAATCATTGGGTCTTGAAAAAAAAAAGGTTGTAACGGGGCTTAGGTAAATGAGGGGATAAAGGCTAAAAACATGGCTAAAGATCAAGACAAAAAACTCATAAATAATTAGATCAAATTTCACGAAATAGACAAAATAAGTAAAAAGGGATGCAAAAAATATGAAACAAACATTAAACAACCTTTTTTTCTTTTCTCTAATTTTCTTTTTATTCGTTTTTTCTTTTTTTTTTCTTTTCGAACTGCTTTTTGTTATTTTTTTGAGTTTTTTTTTCTTTTTTTGCTTTTTTTTTCTCGTGGAACATGATCTCACAACAGTCAACTCATATTCTTTGTCTTTACAAGGGTGGAAGAGAGGGATAAAAGAAAAGGCTCAGGTTTAATATCGTGACAAAAATGAGAATAGACTCAAACATGGTTAACTAATGGGAAAGAGTATGATATGCATTTTGGGAAAAAGTAGGTGAATCATAGGTGCCCAAATCATTTCAAAACATCAAGTTCTCATGTCGTATTGACATGCGTTGTACTACAAGTTATAGATTTTCAATGTTTTAATTCGTTGCACTTAAATAAAAAATAAGAGCAAGAATATAAAGAACATGCTCATCAAGGCTCAAATCTTACCAAAGTGGGTTTATGAATCGAGTTAGGCAAATTTCAATCAACAAAGCCATGGATAGTCATAAAAAAGTTCAACTCAAATCACTACCCCTATCATCCGCAATCATGAATGTCAAGACTTGAACAATCATGCGATTTCAACAAGCATGCCATGCTAAAATATTCAACAAGGGCGAAACATTTCAACAAAAATTTAAACCAATTCAACCAAGGCATACTAGAATCAAGAATAAAGATAAGCAAGTTGAAATTCAACGAATTCTCTACCCCACTTAAGTCGTATTGCCCCAATATGAAGAATTTAAAGTACAAGAGAAATGATAGAGAAAACTCTCCGAGTTCATTGGCAATCACGACAAAAAATTAAATGATGGCGAGAAGGCCAACTTAGAAAAGAAGTCGATAGAGTATAGATCGATGCCGAAGTTTCCTGCAAAGTCAAAAGGAAATATCATTAGTAATCGGTAACAAAAATAATCTTATTTATTTACCTCAATTTTTCCAATTTGGCAGTGGGCATTGGATATAACAATGCGGTAAATAACAATATCGTCTTCTTGATTTCTGGTTTGGACCATGGTGGATGGAGACAATGATGAAGAGCGGCGGTGCATGGATGGCGGATGAGCTGCTTCAAAACGATGAAAGGCGCAGCAAAAGAGTGTGGCCGGATATGGTTTGTTTGTAAAAAGAAAGAGACAAAGTGGAAAATAATGGGGCGGTTCGGTAGGGTTTAATGGGAGATAAAATGGCATTAAAATTTAAAAGGATGATAAGGATAGAAAAATTAAAAGCACGTGTGTCCCATGGTGAATGTTTGGTCGGTCAAAGGAGGTAAAAATGGGGGAAGAAGGAATCATAAAACGGGTGACAAAATGAAGTAAATTGCGGTTGGGGTTTTGCTAAAGTGTACCGCGCATGGGGAGTTTGCTAACACGCGTGGTTAATGAAACGGCGCACTTCATACCCTGCGAGATGCTGTTCGCGCGAGCTGCTGTGCAGGTGGTCTGAAAATGCATTGTTTGATCGAAAATATTACCTCCAACTTCGTTTAAGTTCGAATAAAAACACCTGAGTATCTGAAAAATTAAAAAAAAATAACACAAGTAAATACTCAAGAAAAAGATAAAAATAAAATAAAAATCAGAGAAATTTAAAGAATTGAAATTAAAAATGAGTTGCCTCCCATAAAGTGCTTTGTTTAATGTCGTTTAGCTCGACGACATAGTTCAAACTACAGGTTTTATTCGAGACATTTCCTTCATCAAAGCGTTTGGCCGTGGGTTCTACAAGCTCGCGTTTCGATCTCCGAGTCAATATCTACTAAATCTCCTGGATTGCCTCTGGTCATAAAATCAAAACAAAATTTAATCAGTAATTTGTCGAAATCCCTGACAACGACGCCAGTTTTGACAAGCGTCATTTTGCTCTTCAAAATAAAATAAACAAAATTGAGAAAGTATATTGAAAGAGGGTCGATCCACAGAGACTTAGTAATTCCTGATGTAGTTTTATGTCGATCTCAAACCAGGCACTTGCAACAAGAATAACTAAAAGGGGTGACGTGAATGAGGTGAATAAAAAAATGATAAGTAGAGAATTAAAGAATTAAAATTGAGAATAATGAGGCATAAATTAAAATTAATAATGATAGGGGTAAAATCATCTCGAGCTAGTTTTGTTTCAATTTTGTTGATCATCGAAATGGATTTTTCTTACGGGATTCATGTCGGTTACCGTCTACAAGACCCAACCCATTGTAATCTGCCTTTCTCTTTAAGAACCAATCTTCCCAAGTCACTCTTCGAAAGCCGATTCTTGAATGAACTAGCCACAACTATTGCCGTTAGAACAAACAATTTAAGTTCTAGAAAGCTCGACTCGGATTATGTAGTCTCTTCGAGAATTGAACCCGATCTCGATTTTCCTTAGCGTATCACCGCTAAGTGTGTTCACAGGAGGTCGAATATACCATAGGTCAATCCCTCCTCCTAACTATAAATTAAAACAACATCTGGACCAACGTCGACGTTTTGATTTGAAAGTAAGGTCGATTGTCAAACTAATAAAACAGAAAATCGAGAATGTAACCCGAAGGGTATTAAGTGCTATATCAATTCTCACATATGGGATTGAATCATTGCTAGCTCTCGGCTAATAAGAAAATTATATAAGTAAAAGAAAGTGAAAAGGAAAAAAGAAAAAAACTTTTATTAAAATGAAAACAAAATAACAAAAATGAAACTCAAGATGAAGCTATCTAAGCCTTACCCTAAGGAGGGTATTTATAGGCTTCTAAAATCCTAAAGATAACATGGAAATTCAAATGAAAATAATATAAAAATTAAAAGATAATTTCAAATGTTTAAATTCAAACTTAAAAATTAAGTTTCTTAAAGAATATCCTCGGATCGTGCTGATTGGGTTGCTTTTAGAATGTTCCACGTGCTTATTGGGCCTTTTAGAAACTGGCACGCCATACTGCATTGTGCCCATACTTAAAAATGTGAATAACCTAAATCAACAGTAATAAATTCATAAAATAGGGAAATTAACAAGTAAAAAGCGATAATTTAGAACGCTAATCACATCTAGACGGTCAATTACAAACAATAGTGTCATAACCAAGATATTATTCATACAATGATGAGGAAAAGTGGGAAGCATGGTTGAATAGATATTAAGATTTACTTAGAGAATGTGTATGATTGATTAGAATAGGGACTTTTTTTCCTCAGCAAAAGACAATTTATTAACATAAATAAAGAGTCGAAGTTCAACTTATTAGTCTCATTAAAAACCTCCCTAATCTAATTAGAGGAAAAGAGTACTACATAAGAGAACAATACAAACACATCGAACCAAAAACAGAAACCAAATACTCAAGAAACCCACCCCCTACAAAATCAACTCTTGACCATCTAAAAGAAACAAAACATTACAGCCATCAAAGCACTCAAAGGTAAAAAATAGCACATCAATTCCAGTCGACAGTTCAACATTAGACACCAGCAACTCATACCGAGGCACAAAAACATTTCCACACACTCCAAAGCGAGCCACCAGAATTAATTCTCGAAGAAGATTACGCTACCACAAAAATAATATGGAATCCAGTACAAGGTCCATTCTAATGTCACCAAAATTGGAGTCATAAAACTCTCAACAAACCATACGATCACCAACCAAGCAACCAGACCACAATCTTCTTTCAACCAGCAGTGCAATTACAACACCAATGATAATGGCTCTTCCTTAATTATTCCTGCTAAATAACATTCACTTAATATTCGTCAGAACATGACCTAATTGAAACCAAAATCTAGCCCTTGAATCTTCTTCACATACATTGCATTGAACAAATACTGCTCTGTTATACAATGCATTGTCCAATACCTCCGGCAATACTATCTTTCTCCCACAAAAAACATCTTACAAAACAAAATATCCAAATTTTCTAGCTTATCAAGGCCATTCACAGTCCATATTTCTCAAGATCAATGATACTTAAATTCAACACTTTAACCTTAGATTTGAAGTAATCCACCATAACGTCTCAGATGCCACTATTTCGAATTCAACAACATACCATCAACAACTAACTACCTTATCACAATTGACAATTTCTTGGACACGCACCATCTCATACCAGCAGAATCCAAACTTCTGTCTAACAACAGCATCATCCTCTGTTCCTTTCCAGACTCAAAAATAACAAACAAGTACTCTTCCCCCACAACCCCCAGGAAAGAACAACCATGAATTGAACACACAAACTCTCTAAATACACCGAATATAAAAGAAAGCTAGCATAGTAATGGAGAAAAATATAACAGATTAACAACGCCAGGATAATTTTTTTTTCTCGAAACTTCCCCTTATGAAGACAGCTAAAATTCAATGGACTTAGATTGAGATTCACCTTCCAATTCCTCCAAGGCTATTATTTCCCAAACCAACTTCTCTTCTGAGCCTTTGAACTCTATTCCTAATTCTCTACCAAGCTGTAACGTTAACATTGCTTCCCTCTTTAGTCTCTGGCATCCTGCTTGAATGTCAGAATCAGATAGGGAAATACCTTCAAGTTCATTCAATTCTTCCTCGCTCTGTTTCTTCTTTTGGCTTTTATTTATTCGACAAAATCTATTCTTCCTTCGTGAATTTGCGAATTTCTCCTGAATGCTTTGAAGAGAAGTGTATTTTTTGTTTTTCCCCGCCTTTGCTTTTTGGATCTGCCTGGATTTAAGAGTTAAAGTATACTCACTCAGCTCTTGGTTTGAGAGGCCCATATTAACCACATCCTACACAGCCCTCGTTTCTATTTGACCTTCCCATATCGTCAAGTCTTTAAGATTTTCCTTTATTTCCTCTTTATCACATACTGACATAAACATATTCCTACTGTCATCTTCTGCCACTATCTCCTCATGTTCCACCACTTCCTCGTTTTGCTTGTGAACCTTCCCCATTCCATCATCTTTATTCCTTAGTCCCGAAATTGATACAATGTGTGTCTTCAGTTTTGACACAGGTTCTCTAGAATGGATCAATGTCAGACTCCTTTAAACCTTATAGGGTATTCGTCGAGGTGATCCGATCTCCCGTATCTTTTTTGTGTGTGTATGGAATGACTTAATTAAAGGATTCATATAGAAGTTAATAGTCATCGATGATAGCCCTTTCAATCTTCTAAGCGGTGTCCAACAATTTCTCATCTCATTTTTGAATATGATACGATATTATTTGCAAAAGCTTCACTTGATCAATTAACGGTAATACGAGACATTCTTGATAAAATTTGCCTGGTATCAGTTTTAATGATCCACATTGCAAAGAACATGGTGTATTTTTCCAAGAATGTAGCTTTGGATTTACGCTCACATATAAGTTTGACCTTTGGCTTTTTTTGAGGTCTCGTCTAAAAAATTGTTTGGGTGTTCCTTTTCTCGATTCAATGGTTAATGACAAGCGTCGTAACTATTAAATAATTATTCTTTTTTCTCAAATGGAATAAATTAAAATGTAGTATAAAGAATTAAGGGTCCATCTGCAGGGACTTAGAAATTTCCATTATCGTATTGTGTTAATCCTGATCCAAGAAAATTGTAAGTAAAAAGAAAAGGGGGCTTGGTAATGTAAAAAATAAATAAAATGTACGAGTAAACGAAAAATAAATGAAAGTAAATAATTAAAAATAGAAATGAAGAAAATAACCTCAAGTTTCGCTTTGCCTCAATTTTTTTATCATCGATATGGATTCATGCTGATTATAGTCTAAAAGGTACAACCCTTGTAACTTCTCTCTCGTAAACCGATATTCTCAATTTCATCATTGGAATCCAGTCTTTGCTTGGACTAACCACAACTATTGGCGTTAGAACCAATACAACTTAAAGCATTGGAAAAGAATGACTTGGGTTTTGTTGTCTCAATGAGAATCAAACTTGATATTAATTTCTCTTAGCGGACCACTGCTAAATGTGTTCATATGAAGTCAAATTTTCTACCAGCTAATTCTTCCTCCCAAGTTTAAATCAGAACAACATTTAAACCAACGAGCTCTTTTAGAAATGAAAGTGTTGAGAATTTTTCAGAAAAAGCCGATTGTTAATCTAAGTTTGCAGAAAATTAAAAATGATATCCGAAGAAAGCTTTTCAATTCTCACCAAATGAATTGAGTCATTGCTAAGCCATCGACTAATTAAAAGTTTAGCTAAGCAAGATGAAAATCATGCTTAGAATTTTTCAAAAGAAAGTAAAAACTTAAAGTAAAAAGAAAGAAAAAAATTAACAAAAACTTTAGAGAACTTTATAAAAATCGAAAAAAGAAGTACATCTCAAGCAATACCCAAAACGGGTAGTATTCTAAAACCCTAAAGATGAAACAAGATAAATTTAAAATAAAAATATCTAAAAATTAATCTAAAATTAAATCCTAAAATGTTTTCAAGTTCAAATTTAAATTCTTAAATCAGCTCTACCCGTCCACCTTCTAGATTAATGTTGACTTGATTTTCTAGAAACTGTTGTTGATTGACCACGTTATGCCCATGTTTCGAGTCATGATTCCAGAAAATAAAAAAATTGCAGAATCATCCTTTTTAATGTTGTTTATGGAAAATAGCTCATGCACAAAAATGAGTGAAACATAACTAAATCAGAAGTAATAAAGCAACAACATGGCAGAATTAACAAGTAGATATCTTTAATTTAAATCGATCATCAGATAATGAAGTTTCTTATGATTATTTGCAATAAATGGTTTGGAAAAGATTGAGTGGGTGGAAGGTGAAGTCCTTTTCGCTTGCAGATATAATTTCCATCGCTAAAGCTATCTTATCGGTAATTCTTTCATATACTGTACAAACAACGATTCTTCTAAAGCGAATATGTATAGAATTGGAACGACTAAGTTATTGCTTCATATGAGGGATCTCATCAAATAATAAGGGTGTTCATATTGTTCGTTGGGAAGATGTTTGTAGGACCATTTCGTAAGGAGGTTTTGGATTTTAATCGATGAGTACCCAAAATAAAGCATTTCTCATGAAGTTGATATTTAATTTAGTCGCTAAGAAAGATGCCTTAAGGGTTCATTTTCTTCGTGCCAAATATAAATGCAAGGACAGTATCTGGCAACACTACGTAGTGGTAGTTTCTTAAGACTTTGGAAAGGACTCGACCTTGTTTGTAGTGATGTTCGTAGGCACATGTGCTGGAGTATTGGTAATGTGATGAATATGGACTTCTGTCTTGATGATTGGGTTCTGAATATTGGTCTCCTAATTAAACAGGTATTTACGTATGATGTTCCTAGCATTGGAAGTGCCCGAGTGACAGACATAATGGATCAGGAAGGCAATTGGTACTGGGAGCTCTTCCAACATTTACTTCCTTGTTAGATTCTATTAAGCATTGCTACTATCAAAGGGCCAAAATCTTCATTTATAGGAGTTTCATGTTGGGAAATAAACGAGTAATTTCCTTATAACCAGATTAGTGAGAATACGAAATAAAAGCGAAAAAATAATGCCCGAAATTGATAACAGAGTTCAGTCAATTATGCCTACGTCTCTGGACTGCTGCAGATCTTTGACTAAAGAGAGAAAATTTACAGGTGTTTACAAACACTCAAAACTCACAAGAAAGCTCTCCAGTATTGGGAGAAAGAAATGATTTGGGATGATTTTGAAGCTAAATGGGTTAGGGTATTTATAGTTGAAGCTTAATGACTAATCTTGTAAATACCCTAAAGTACAGGGAATAAAATGTAATTTTCCCATTACCATTTTCAACAAAAATTAAATGCACCGAATTCGGTGCCCAATCCACCGAATTCGATGCCCCCTTTATTGAAAACCATTCGCCCCCCTTTATTGAAAACCATTCGGCCCCCCTTTGTTGACTTTCACTTTCAACAATCTCCCACTTGAAGACTGATTTTAATCTGTCTTCACACCTCGATCAATGTAGCAACATTTCTGGTCTTGTTACTCTAGCATGCCAACTGAAGCTGAACACAACTTCAGTTTGTCAGTAGTCACCGTCTTTGTTAACATGTCTGCCAGATTTTGAGCTCTACTAATCTTTTCAAGTTTCAAAATCCCATCTTCCAGAAGAGATCTGATAAAATGATATCGCAATTGTATGTGCTTCGTCCTAGAATGAAAAGATGGATTCTTCACTAGATGGATAGCACTTTGACTGTCGCAATACAAGACATTGTTTTCTTGTTTCTTACCTAACTCTTCCAAGAAACTTTGGAGCCAAACTATCTCATTGATGGCTTCCGTAACAGTGACATATTCTGCTTCATTTGTGGAGAGAGCAACTATCTTCTGTAGTTGAGAAACCCAACTCACTGTAGTACCTCATAGAGTATAGACATACCTTGTAGTGCTCGTCAACATTTTCGGCTAAGTCAGTATATACATAGCCTGTCAGTTTTGTATCTCCACCTTTGAAACAAAGTGATGTTTGTGGTACCTTGCAAATATCTAAGGATCTATTTGACTGCTTCTCAGTGTACTTTTCCCAGATTATTCATGTACCTGCTAACAACTCCCACTGCATGAGCAATATCTGGTCTAGTACAAACCATGGCATACATCAGACTTCCAATTGCTGAGGCATACGACACCTTCACCACGTGTGCACGTTCTTCTTCCGTCTTTGGTGACTATTCTTTGGAGAGTCTAAAATGAACACCTAAAGGTGTACTTACTGGTTTAGCATCTTGTATGTTGAACCTGGATAGTACTTTGTTGATGTACTCAACCTGTGATAACATCAAAGTCCCCGACTTTGTGTCTCTCTTAATCCTCATCCCAAGAATCTGCTTTGCAGCGCCCATATCCTTCATTGCAAACTGCTTCGACAATTTTTGCTTCAAGTTTATAATCTCTTGCATGTCTGAGCCTGCAACGAGCATGCCATCAACGTACAATAATAAAATAATGAAGTTGTTGTCGAACTTCTTGATGTAGAAACAATGATCTGCTTGGCATTTGGTAAAACAACTGCTACACATGAAACTATCAAACTTCTTGTACACTGTCTAGGAGCTTGTTTTAAACCATACAAGCTCTTCTTCAACTTGCATACCAGGTTTTTCTTGTCTGCCTCTATGAAGCCTTCTGGCTGTCTTATATAGATTTTTTCTTCCAAATCACCATGAAGGAAAGCTGTCTTCACATCTAACTGCTCAAGATATAGATTCTCTACAACTACAATTTTTAACACCAGTCTGATTGTAGACAGCTTCACGACTGGAGATAAAATTTCATTGTAGTCAATACCTTCTTTTTTCTGAAAACCTTTGACAACCAATCTTGCTTTGTAGCGTTTGCTCTTTACTGAAAACCTTTGACAACCAATCTTGCTTTGTAGCGTTTGCTCCCATCGTGCTCTTCTTTGATCTTGTAAATCCACTTGTTATGGAGTACTTTCTTGCCTGGTGGTAATTTAGCTAATTCCCACGTCTGATTTTACATAAGTGAGTTCATCTCATCTTTCATGGAAGACTCCCACTTGACTGAATCCTCCACCTGCATTACTTCATCATAACACTCTGGTTCACCATTTTCAGTTAGCTACAAGTAGTACAAAGAAGACGAATAACGCTGGGTTGATTTAGGAATTTTGGAGGAGTGTCTCAGTTCTGGTGTGTCTTGTTCTTCTTGAACTGCTTCAGAACTGATATGAACATCATTTTCAGAAATCTTCTCAAACTCAACAAATTTCTTTGTTTCACCTTCGGTGTTGGAGCTACTTGATTCTATGGTTGACTTGTCTTTGTACATCACATTCTCATTGAAAATGACATCTCTGCTTCTGATGATTTTTCGATTTTCATAATCCCAAAATCGGTAACCGAACTCATCAGCACCATAACCAACAAAGACACATTTGTTGGATTTGGCATCAAGATTACTTCTTTAAGCAGAATTTATGTGTACATAAGAAATACAACCAAACACTATTAAGTGTGAAAGGTTTATTTCTTTCTAACTCCAAAATTCCTCTGGTATTCCACCATCCAAGGGAACTGAGGGCCCACAATTCATCAGGTAAGCTGCAATGTTGATAACTTCAACCCATAGCAATTTGGGCAAGCCGTCATATATCCTCATACTTCTGGCATGTTCATTCAGAGTTCTGTTTATGCGCTCTGCTATACCATTCTGCTAAGGTGTCATTGGAATTGTTGTCTCCATCTTGATCTCATTGTTTGTGCAAAAATCTCTGAATCTACTATTTCTGTACTCTCCTCTATTATCAGACCTCAACCGCTTGACTTTCAAACCAGTCTCATTTTCCACCATGGCCTTCCATTTCCTGAAGGTATCAAAGACTTCTGATTTCTTCTTCAGAAAATAATTCCTTACCTTCCTTGTAGAATCATCGATGAAGGTGACATAATATAGTGAGCCTGCAAGAGATGGAACTGGAGATGGTCCCCATACATCTGTATGAACCAACTCTAACTTTTCAGCCTTGGGTATCTTGCCAATCTTTGTAAAACTAAATTTCTTTTGTTTGCCAAAGATGCAATCTTCACATAGTCTGACATTTATGTTCTTTAGATCCGACAGCTTCCCTTTTGACAAAAGTGTCTTCATCCCTTTCTCGCTTATATGGCCAAGCCTTTGGTGTCATATGTTTGATTTTCCATTAGCATCTGCTACTGTAATGATATTCTCTAAATTTTAGGTTACATAGAGAGTACCAGTCTTCTTACCACGAGCAATGATGAGTGCTCCATTGGTAATCTTCCATTCACAGCCTGAAAAGGTTGTACTATATCCTTCTCCATCAAGTTGTCCTACAGAAATCAAATTTCTTTTGAGGCCATGAATATGTCTCACTCGTTTCATCTTCCAAGTGGTCTGGTTTGGCAATTTTAATTGGTTGTCTCCTTTTCCGACGATTTTCAAGGTTTCATCATCAGCTAGATGAACCTTCCCAAAATCACCACTGACATAGTTCTCCATGATTTCTTGGCATGGGGTGAAGTGGAAAGATGCCCTTGAATCCAAGATCCATGATTCAATTCGACTGTTGACGCTTAGAATCATGTCATCACTTGTCTCCTCTGTTATGTTGGCAGATTCCTGTGCGTCGGTATCTTTCTTCGGTGCTCGCCAATCTCTTTTAAAGCGACCCTTCTTGCCACAATTATAAAGTTATAATCTTTCTTTCCCTTTCTTGATTTTCCCCTTCTGGATTTCGATCTGCCACGATTTGAATTTTTTTATGAAGTTCTCCCTCTAGACTCCGTGTCCAAGGCTGAGGAGCTTGATGCTTCACGCGATTCTCTCCGTCGAATTTCTTCACTCAATGCCAGATCCCGAAATCGTCGAATTTTAATTTATTGTTTCTCGACGAGCTGCTGACTACTGTAACAGTAGCATTCCAACTATCTGGTAGAGATGATAAGAGAATTAAAGCTCGAACTTCATCATCAAATTTAATTTCCACGGAACTCAACTGGGTTGTGATTATGTTGAGTTCATTTAGGTGTTGAGTCACTGATGCCCCTTCCGCCATTCGCAAATTGAATAATCGCCTCATCAGATGAACTTTGTTTGAGGCCGATGGCCTCTCATACATACTGGAGAGAGCTGCCATGAGACTCGCCGTGGTCTTTTTCTTTGCTACACTACTAGAAAAACCCCCTTTAATGTCGCTCATTGCGCGTCATCTATGGGTGCAAATGACACACATTTACGTGTCATTGAAGCCACCGATATAAATCTTAGATGACACACAATTGTGTGTCATAAATATATGACGCGCATTTATGATGCTCATCTATGACGTGCATTGAGCGTCATTGAAACCCTCGTCATAAATAAAGATGACACACATTTGTGTGTCGTGATATTTCGTAAATTATATATATATATATATATATATATTGTAGATTGACAAATAATCAAACTAAATCACATTTAATGCCTTATAATACTAAATATATATATCATATTATATATAAACAATTCATATACTAAATATTCACATTAGTCAAAGAAAACAAAGAAAATATGTCATTGAGAAAGAACATATAACCATTATTATAAGTTAATAAACAAACACTGAAAGTTACAAATCTCCTTAAATGAATTCAACAATAGTCCTAGTTCACATAAAATTAGTTACTGCTCCCTGCTCGGATTAGCCATGAACTATACTATCTATGTTGCACAAAGAAGAATTGAAACCAAAGTCTATGTCTCTCCACCAAATGCATCTAATGTTTAGGTAAGTAGCACTGACTTTACCTTGCAGTAGATGCTAGTTTAAACCCATAGTACTACAGCTTTATTTTCCTGCAACCATCAGTTACAACAACTGCCCACATGGTCACTACAGTAAAAACACCTAATATAGCAAGCATGTACGACCACCAACTCATGGAAACAACAACTCCGATGCTGACCAGCACCATGTTTAAGAACACATCACACCTTGGTTTATCAGTACCACACACGACACAAATGAAAAATGTTGCCACTGGCACTGTAATATTACAAACATAAATAGCCAGTCATTACAATTATGGAGTGATTTCGTTGGATGTAATCAAATAATGCACTTTGTTTCCACATACTTAGAGCTTCGAGCATATGGATAAAGCCACAGATATGTGCAAATAAGCAGTGTTGCCAAACCTGTATTGACAACAAAAAAATGAGGATGCTTAGAATATGTAAAAACAATATCAACAAAAGGTAAGCAAAATAAAACAAAGATGTCAAAATTTTACACAACTAGTACATAATAAACTCCATATCGTATAAGCAATTTGCAGCCTATAGCATAAACCTTTTGGCAACTCAACAGCTTAAATGCATTTAAAATTTAATTTTCATTAAAAGTATAAGAAAAAAAAATTAGTGTTGTCAGAACCAGTTTCAAGGCAAGGCATTAAGATATGAAAACACGGAGCAAGACAAATGGTAGTAATTCAACAAATTAGGATCTTGCTTAATTAAGAAACTTCATTATGCAGAGAAAACAACTTGACCACTCTGCGAAACCCCCTTAATCGTAGTTCAAGTTTAAGAAATAAAATAAAAGATAAAACAATATATGTAACAGGTATTGCTACTGCATCTATACTTGATTTGAGCTTAACAATAATCATCCAGGTTTATTTAGTTGAGAATTTTCACAAACTCAAGTCAACCTACCAACTTGGGTACAATAACTCTTTAACAACCATTAGGATAAGAAAGCAGACAGATCATTGAGGAACAATATTATACTTAAAACAAAAAAGAGTCTGAAACAGGCAACAAGTTCACAAGTAATACTCTGCTTTCAGTCTCGGCAGGGTTTTCAAGCAGTATGTATTTTTTGCTGACAGAAGTAACTCATTACACAACACAAACCACACCATAATAAGGAAAACACTACAACACACACCAAACAAAAATTCCAGTCATACCACAGTTAAATACTTACCAAATAATTGATGCAAAGAAGGCACTTATAGGTATTACACATGTTGCATATCTACAACACCGAGAACATTTGTTTAGGAAAGAGAACATCGATACTGTAGCTAAGCAGTAACTGAGAATAATAACTGCTATTTTAGATAAAGAATAGCACTTACATTTCAAATGTCATTTTGACAAAAGCTACAACCTGCATGGAAAGATTGAGGGAGAGGAAAATGCATTACAAAACTAGGCAAAACAATGGAAGATGAAGCTTGCATAGAAAAATAATATATATGCTCTCAAATTTATATTTTGCCTCTGTAGGTAAAATAAAAAGCAAAAAAAAACACAATGGATCTTTAGTTTCTAGTCATAAAGAGACCACTAAGTTCTGAAAATGGGGACAATGTAACCAAAAACATATTTTATTGTGACAAACTTGGCATTCGTAGAACTAGTTGCATTTGCATATATATTATTGAGACGGGAGTATATGGTTTAGCATTCAATAGTTTAGTATTAAGACATTCCTTACAATAGTTAGCAATGCTAGATGGAAAAGAAATTGAAGTTAGTTGCATGTCAGTCATACCTTGAAAACACGGACATGGAAAAATGCAATGATTCCAGAGAATACCATGTGAATCATTATCAACGTCATAGAAAACGGGAAATTGAAGTACTTGGGAGACAACACCCACTACAATAAGAAATAAATAACGTAAAAATGGAGAGAATGAATTGCATAAATGAAAAGTTCATTCCTAATCAAATTGAAACCGAAAAAAAACATCATTGCTTTAATTGTAACCTAAACCTAACTATCACAAGTAATGAATTAATAAAGCTTGATCAGTTATGGACTTTTTTTTGCATGATATTGTAAAGGGAGAAAAGAACGGCACAATACAGTACAACTTACACAGTATGAAAGTTGGGGTGTAAATGAGCCATAATTTCTTGAATCGTTGAGATTGATCAACTATCGTTTGAGATAATCGGAAGTTCGGAACTCAAAATGAAAAACCAAGCAAAGACTATAACAATAATAATAAGGTGGAAAAGAATAAACTAGTATGCAGAAAGTTCTATGGCCGAGGATAATATCCAGGGATCTCATAATCGAAAAGAATTATCATACAAAAGCATTTCGACATCACTTACAAGAACTTCAGGGTATGATTTGCAATCAACAGTTCAGCATCGCACAACCATAACATTCTATAAATGAAATAAAACTTATAAATTTAGACCAATCTGTCATTTAAAATTGTAAATGTAAAGCTTAAAAGTTCTTAGCCGCAACACCAGGCTCGATCCGTTTCTATCCAACTAAATAGGAAGAAGAATAAGTTCAACACGAGCTAACAATTATCATATTCTTTAGAAACAATGACAAATTCACTAAAAGAAAAAACAGCAGTTTCACTCTCCCAAATACAGAGAATCATCTGTTGCAGGAATGTTGTCCTGAACCAAAATCTATCCGGTCAGCTGAGCACCCATCCAATCACTTGCATGCTCCATCTTCAGACAACTGGATTTCTTCTCCTGTATTTTTTCCATATCACTAGCAGCAGTCAGTTCAAATAATATTAACCAAATATCTTTATTCTTTGGTATAAAAGTTGCTATCAAATGAAGCTGGTGATGACTGGAAAACATGGAAGTTGATACCATGAAAACCTATCTCCCCAGTAAATATTATATTTGAGCATATAAAAAAAGCAAAATAAAGCAAATAGAGAAATCACCTCCTGGGTCGGATTCAAACCGACTTTGAGCTCACAGGCACTCTTTTTCCTCCATTTAGTTCTAGGGAGGTTTCTAACAAGGCCCCTAGCAATGAGTTCTATCCTTATTAATAAGAATTTCCCTTTTCTAAAAAATAAAAAAAAAAAGACGCTAGGAAAAAATCAAAGGAAATATTTGAAGGTAAAATTCATCGTTGAGCAATGGATTAGCTAAATAGTAAATAACAATAACCAATGACATGTATACCGACCTGAAAAGGAAATATGAGAGAACACATGTCATTACAAGACTGGCGAGCGTTGTTGGGGAGTACCACATCACAACATATGAGGCATTGCATTACAATATACTCCTCAATTTTCCTTGATACAGTTTCCACCATAACAGGAAGAGCTGAAATGATAATTGAAAATTTTACATCCAAGGCAAATTAACATAGGAGAAGAAAGCCAAAAGAACGAAAGACAATAATAGGGAAAAAATAAATTTAAATCCCAAATTGCTATGTAAAATAAATCAGACTACAAGTAGATTGAAAAAGAAAAAAAAAGAATGAAAGAAAAAAGCTTTGGTTGCCACTAAAATCGGATGTGATTTTTGTAGTGGTGAATTCCAGAACTGGTTAATTCCCCTTTTCCTTTCGGGAACTCTCTTCTGTAGGGATTCCTATTCTATTTCTATTGACCCTTTTCCGTCTACAACACAAAAAGTAAACAGAAGCAATGTAAAAGGAAAGGGAAAGCAGATGAGAGATCAAAGTTAGAGGTAAAAGGAAAGGAAATGAAAGGAAACAAACTTTATGTACAAGCAGAACTTTAGGGAATTTCCCTCTGGGAAAATCGAAATCTCGATTCAACGATGCATTGGCAAAGTCATCGCCATTTCCACGACTAGGTTCAGTGAGTGTCAACAAACCGAAACATTGGCCAACCGGTCTGAGATCAAAATTTTGGTTTAAGCCGGTAGAGTCATCAAGAGAAAACAAACATGAGGTAGAATCCCACGACGTTTAGTTTTACCCTCTGGGAAAATCAAAATCCAAAATCGAAACGGTGCTCAACACTTCTTTGTTAATGTTCACTCCTTTAACTTCTAGATTTTTCTAAAGAACCAAACAGAGGAAGACTAACCTGGAATTTTAAGGGGTTTTGGCGATAAGAGGCCAGGGCTGAGGTGATGAAAGCCGAGAAGCATTGCTTCCATTGTCCACCGATACAAATCCACTGATGCAAAGAGAAAAAGGGAAAAAGGGAAAAAGAGAAAAAAGGGGAACATGCGGCGTAAACTGATAATTATCGAGGGGAAGAAGCGGTAAAGGATGAAAATAATGGGGAATTAAAATACGATTTTTATAGATAACATACAATTAAAAGTGTACTTTGTGTTTTTGTAAATTTTTTGGATTATGACTATTAAATATGATATATATTATTGTAAGTCATAAATCGTTCAGATTTTAAAAAATATGACATTTTTTATGACACATTTTTTGCAAGTCATAAATTAGCGCGTGCCGTCGTTCGTGTGCCATTAAAGGTATATTTTCTTGTAGTGCTATGTTGAAAACAACATTACGGGATAACATCAATCGGATAACTCCGAGGGCTTATCTGTCGAGAATAGCCCAGTCTTCATTCTTCATGCCTTTTGGTTGCTTTCTTAAGAGAAGTTGATATATATTTTTCTGGTAAAGAAAATCTTCAATCTGTATCTTCCAAAAGCTAAAGTCTGCACCATCGAATTTATCAATTTTCACCTTCCCTTCGTCTGCAGTCATCGCTCCCACTCGAATCTGGCTTCTTTTGGATTGTTTCTGATAATTCTTGTGAACTACCGTGTATTAGAACACCTCCGTCGATAAACTCATATTACCGACCAAATTTTACTATTAACGAAATTCACTATTCACATAAATAGTAACCTCGCAGAAAAACTGACAAAATTATCCACTAAAAGCTCTGATACTAGTTGTTGGGAAATAAACGAGTAATTTCCTTATAACTAGATTAGTGAGAATGCGAAATAAAAGCGGAAAAAAATACCCGAAATTGATAACGGAGTTCAGCCAATTATGCCTACGTCTCCAAACTGCTACAGATTTTTTACTAAAGAGAGAAAATTTATAGGTGCTTACAAACACTCAAAACTCACAAGAAAACACTCTAATATTGGGGGAAATAAATGATTTGGGATGATTTTAAAGCTAAATGGGTTAGGGTATTTATAGTTAAAGCTTAATGGCTAATCTTGTAAATATCCTAAAGTGCATGGACTAAAATGTAATTCCCCCATTACCATATTCAAAAAAAAAAATTAAATGCACCGAATTCGGTGCACAATCCACCTAATTCGATGCCCCCTTGTTGAAAACTATTCGGCCCCTTTGTTGACTTTCACTTTCAACATTTCGGTGGGATGGTTGGGTCGAGAGGATAACAACTTCTCAGTATGGTTCATTGTTTCTGGGGAGCACAACGTATCAAAAATATTTATGTAGTTGGTGTTAGGGGTGTGCAAATCTAGGTACCCGGATTTTCGGGTACCCGATTTTCGGGTACCCGAAACTTCCGGGTCGACGATTTTTCGGCCCGTGTCCCGATCCGGATGTTACGGGTACCCGGTAATCGGGTACCCGGATTTTGCGGGTACCCGGTAATCGGGTACCCGATACCCGGTTTTTAATTTTTTATTTTTAAATTATTAATTTAAAAAAATATATACACAAATTTAAATGTTCGAAACTTCAAATTACATACTCTAATATCCGAACATAAAATTTAAAAGTTCAAAATACAAAATATAATAATCCATAATATAAATAATTCATTATATTTTATATAATTATATATATATAAAATAAAAAAAAAATAAAAACTAACCAGTTACTCGGGTAACCTGGTACCCAGAAAAACTAGATTTTGTGACCCGGGCCCGACCCGGGAAATGTCGGGCCGGGTACTCGACCCGGCCGGGTAATTGTTTTTAGAGAATTACCCTATTTTTTTAGATCTGGGTCGGCGGGTCGGGTCAACCGGGTCGGGTAATTTTACACACCCTAGTTGATGTGTTGTGGTAAGTTAATGACCAATGAGGAGAGAGTGCGACAACACTTAACCACGAATAGCCACTGTCCGATCTGTTTTGTGGAGTGGAAGATATCAATCACGTGCTTCACTTATGTCATGGTGCATACTCTATTTGGTCCATTATGATTAAAAGGGACAAGTGGGGGGGAGTTTCTTTGTTTGGATCTTCGATGCTGGATTGGTTTAAATATTACGAACTTGCGGTACTCCACGATTGAATCAAGAGAGTGGGATTTACTTTTTGGTGCAATTATTTGGAATCTTTGGCTTTTCAGAAATGATATGGCCTTTGGCAATCAAGTGGACTTTTTTAGATCTGTTATTGAGCGGAGTCGAGAACTTACGATAATAAAGGAGCATGTCGTTGATGGAGCAGGTACCATTAC